TTGCAGTGAGCTTAGATCGCACCACTGCACTCCAGCCTGGGTGACAGAGCGAGACTGTCTCAAGGAAAACAAAGAACTGCTAGGCCAGTCATAGTAGCTCATGCCTATAGTCCTAGCACTTTGGGAGGCCTAGGTGGGAGGAGTGCTTGAGCCCAGGAGGTCGAGGCTGCAGTGAGCCATGATCGTGTGCCACTGCACTCCAACCTGGGTGACAAAGCGATATTTTGTCTCTTAAAAAAATAGATTACTATAGTTTCTTCCTTGTTCCCTGTAAAGAAATTTTTTTCTTTCTTTTTTTTTTTTTTAAGAGGTAAGGTCTTGCTCTGTCTCCCAAGACTGGAGTGCAGTGGCACGATTATAATTCGCTGCAGCCTCAAACTCCTGGGCTCAAGAGATCCTCCTATTCTCCTACCTCAGCTTCCCAAGTAGCTGAGACTATAGGCTCATGCTGCCATGACTGGCTAAGTTTTGACTTTTTTGTAAAGGCAGAGTTTTGCTCTGTTGGCTGGGCTGGTCTCGAACTCCTGGCCTTAAGTGATGTTCCCACATTAGCTTCCCAAGGTCCTGGGATTACAGTGTGGGCTGCCACGCCAAGCCCCTGTAATGAAATTTATCATGCGTCTCTAACAGGGAGACAAGGTTTTATTTCTTTTAGTCTTCAAAAGTTTATATAATATCAAAACAATAGGTCGGGTGCAGTAGCTCACACTCCCAACACTTTGGGAGGCCGAGAGTGGATCATGAGGTCAGGAGTTCCAGACCACCCTGGCCAATGTGGCAAAACCCCATCTCCACAAAAAATATAAAAATTAGCTGGGCATGGGGGCGTATGCCTGTAATCCCAGCTACTTAAGAGGCTAAGGCAGGAGAATTGCTTGAACCCAGGAGGTGGAGGTTGCAGTGAGCTGAGATCATGTAACGGCACTCTAGCCAGGACAACAGAGCGAGACTCTATCTCAAAACAAAACAATCTTAAGGTTTAAAGAATCTTGCAAATTAATATATTCAGTTTTATTATGGGGAGACTTTAATACAAAAAATAATTAAAACAATTATTACAGAGTTCCTCAGCAGAAGGGCATACCGATGCTGTCCTTGACCTTTCATGGAATAAGCTAATCAGGTAAAAAGAAATAACATTTGAATGACTGTAAAAGACTGTAGCCATTGTGATCTTACCTCATGCCGACACTCATCTCTTTATTTGTGCCATGGACTTTTGTGTCTATCTTCCTTTCTTGTAGGATGCTCTGCTTGCAGGCAGGAGCTCTGCCATCTGTTTCTTTGCATCCTCCAGGTCACCTGCCAGCTCATCACTGTGGGTGCTCATTACATGTTTGGTGACCCAAGTGCCCTCTCTCCACTACCACTGGGAAAAAACAGGGTGTTTGGCAGTGCCCATGGTGCAACAGGATTTTGTTTCTTCCTAGGAGACATTTTTCTCTATTTTCACATCTTACCATATACTCTTTTATTTTTTCTTTAAGTTATGGCAAAATACAAAAGTTAACACTTGTATTAATCTTTTCATGCTGCTAATATAGACATACTCGAGGCTGGGTAATTTGTAAAGGAAAGAGGTTTAACTGACTCAGTTCCATATGGCTGGGGAGGCCTCACAGTCATGGCGGAAAGCAAATGAGGAGCAAAGTCATGTGTTACGTAGTGGCAGGCAGGAGAAAGGGCATGTGCAGAGGAACTCCTTTATAAAACCGTCAGATCTCATGAGACCCATTCACTATCACAAGAACATCACAGGAAAGACCTGTCCCCATGATTCAATTACCTTCCACCTGGTCCCTCCCACAACACATGGGAATTATGGGAGCTACAACTCAAGATGAGATTTGGATGGGGACATAGCCAAATCATATCGCCACTTTTGCCATTTTTAAGTGTGCAGTTCAGTGGCTTTCAGTACCTTCACAGAGTTGTGCAACCATCACCACAATGCATCTCCAGAACATTTTCATCTTTCCACACTGTAGCTCTGCTGTTTAAACACTGACTCCCCATTTCCCCAACCCCCAGCCTCGGCAACCACCACTCCACTTTTCTGTCTCCATTAATTTGACTAAGCACCTCATATGAATGGAATCATACAGACTTGCTTCTTTGCAACTGGCTTATTTGACTTAATGTCTTCAGGTTCAGTCATGTTCTAATAAGTGTCAGAGTTTCCTTCCTTTTTAAGGCTAAATAACATTCCATTGTATGTAAGGTATGGTACCCGTTCATTTGTGTGTGGTCACCTGGATTGTTGCTTCTGCCTTTTGGATACTGTGAATAATGCTCCTATGAATGTGGGTGTACAAATATTCAAGTCCTTGCTTTCAATTATTTTGGGTATGTACCCAGAAGTGTTATTACTGGATCTTACGGTGATTCTATTTTTAATTTTCTGAGGAGCTACCAGACTATTTTCCATAGTAGCTGCACCATTTTACATTTTCACCAACAGTGCACACAAGGGCTCTAGCATCTCCAACATTTGTTATTTTCTGTTTTTCGTAATAGCCATCCTAATGGGTATGAAGTGGTATCTCACTGCGGTTTTAATTTGCATTCCCCCCCTTTTTTTAAAGTAAGATGGGGGTCTAACTATGTTGCTAAGGCTGGTCTCAAACTCTTGGGCTCAAGCAATCCCCCCGCCTCATCCTCCCAAGTCACTGGGAGTACAGGGGCTGCCACCACACCTGGCTTAATCTGCATTTCTTAACGATTAGTGATGTTGAGCATCTTTGTTTTGCGCTTATTGGCCATTTGTGTATCTTCTTTGGGAGAAATGTTTTTCCAAGTCGTTTGCTTACTTTTTTTGAGACAGGGGTCTCACTCTGTTACCCAGGCTGGAGTGCAGTGGCACAATCATTGCTCACAGTAGTCTTGACTTCCTGGGGCTCAGGTGATCCTCCCACCTCAACCTCCCAAAGTGCTGGGATAATGGGCATGAGCCACCAAGCCTGGCCTCCCTTTGCCTGTTTGTGTTTGATGTTGAATTTTTGGAGTTCTCATATATTCTGAATCCTAACTCCTACCAAATACATGATTTGCAAATATTTTCTTCTTTTCTGTGGGTTGTTTTTTCACTTTCTTGGTGCTATCATTTGCAGCACGGGTTTTTCATGTGATGGTGTGTATTTCTTTTGTTGTTCATGCTTTTGATGTTGTGTCTAAGAAACCATTGCCTAAATCAGGGTCATAAAGGTTTACATGTATGTTTCCTTCTGAGAGTTTTATAGTATTAGCTTTTACATTGAAGTCCATGATCCATTTTTAGTTTTTTTGGTGTGTATGGTGTGAGGTAGGGGTCCAACTTCATTCTTTTTCGAGAAGATGATTCATTTGTCCCTGAACCATTTGTTTTTGTTTTGTTTTGTTTTGTTTTGTTTGAGACAGTGTCTTACTCTGTCACCCAGGCTGGAGTGCAGTGGTGTGATCTCAGCCCACTGCACCCCCCCGACCTCCAGGGTTCAAGTGATTCTGCCTCAGCCTTCTGAGTAGCTGGGATTACACGTGCATGCCACCATGCCTGTCTATTTTTTGTATTTTTATAGAGACAGGGTTTCACCACGTAGGCCAGGCTTGTCTCAAACTCCGGACCTCAAGTGATCTGCCTGCCTCTGCCTCTCAAAGTGCTGGGATTATAGGCATGAGCCACCGTGCCCAGCCCCATTTGTTGATAAGACTTTTTTCCCCATTGAACATTTAATTACCTCAGTACCCTTGTCAAAAACCAGTGACTATAAATGTTTATTTCTGGACTGTTAGTTTTAGTCCATTAATCTGTGTATCATTATGCCAGTAGCACATTGTGATTGCTGTAGATTTTCAGTAAGTTTTGATGCCAGAAAGTATGAGCTTGCCAACTTTGTTCTTTTTTTCAGTACTATTTTAGCTATTCTAGGTTCCTTGCATTTTAGGAATCAGCTTGTCACTTTTGTTTTATTATTATTAGGCTAATACTAATAGTAGTACATCTTGTTTTGTTTTGAGACAGAGTCTCACTCTGTCGCTCAGGCTGGAGTCCAGTGACATGATCTCGTTTCACTGCGACCTCTGCTTTTTGGGTTCAAGCTATTCTCCTACCTCAGACTCCTGAGTAACTGGGATTGTAGGTGTGCGCCACCATGCCTCGCTAATTTTTTGTATTTTTAGAGAAGGGGTTTCACCATGTTGGCCAGGCTGGTCTTGAACTCCTGACCTCAAGTGATCCACATGCCTCAGCCTCCCAAAGTGCTGGGATTACAGGTGTGAGCCACTGTGCCTGGCTGTGAATCAGCTTGTCACTTTCTGCAAAAAGAAAGAAAAAAGTCATCAGGGATTTTGAAAGAGATTGGTTGAATCTGTAGATCAGTTTATAGCTCCATCTGTAGATGTAGTATTTCCATATTAACACTATTGAGTCTTCTAATACATGAACATGGGGTGTCTTTCCACTTCTTTAGATACTCGTTTCTTTTCATAATCTTCAGTAGTTTTCATTATGTAAGTCTTTTGTTAAATTTATTCCTAAGTATTTTATCTTTCTGATGCTATTGTAAATGCAATCTTTTTCTCATATTTAATGCTCCTGACTTTTAAAAGATTACCTGATTGGATTCTTCCCTTTCTCAGAAATGTTTTAGCAAGTGCATCAGCGGACAACACTGTAATTCTGTGGGATATGTCCTTGGGGAAACCAGCAGCTAGCCTCGCTGTACACACAGACAAGGTATGGTGATTTAGTTGATCAGCGGTTCTTAAAAATCGGACACAAATATTGGCTAAAAATAATCTCAAACGTTTATATATGGCTTTGAAAATAATTCTATCTGGCTTGTAGCATGCTTTCACCTGTTATCTCTTAGGATTTTCACAAAGCCCTGTGTGGTAGGTGTAATGCCCATCTTAGAGATGAAAAATTGGGTACAGAAAGGTACAGTTACTAGGAACATTAGTGCCCTGTAACATATTTATAGAGGCTCCTAAAAAAGGATGAGGGCTGTCAGTCACAATGATATGAAAGAATTAACACCCATTACTGCATTATTCCCCAGGGATCTAATGCACATTGTTTTGGGACTTCTGGAGCATGGGGAATTCACCAGATGGGTTTGACTACTTCCCTTTTTCTTCTGAGTATCTTCTAACATTTGAGGGACCTAAGTATTCTGCCAAACAGTTTGGGGAAACTACATTTTCTTTAAGTGCCCAGTCTTTATTTGGGAGCATGGTTTGCCCTTTGATTATGCAGTACATTTATGTTTCTTTTGTTTATTTCAAAGGGAAGCATTTATAGAAATACTGTCAAATAGATTCTTACCACATGTTAGGTAATTTTACGAAAAGCAAACAAACAGAGATCTTTGCATTTATGTTTCCTCCCTTTAGGTCCAGACGCTGCAGTTTCATCCATTTGAAGCACAGACTCTGATTTCTGGCTCATATGATAAGTAAGAAAGCACAGCAGGAATGATTGCTGCTCTGTTTTTATCCTCTAGAAGTCATTTTAAAAGTATCACTTGATACCCAGGCAGAATGTATCCCTGAGGCCACCTTTGTGTTTAAATTATTTGCACTACTTATTTTTCCTTTTAACTCTGGTCCTTTCAGGCTACAAGGGAACATGGTTCTGTCATAATAATATAACTGTAGGAACTAGGAACTTCTTTGGCTTTTAGAGGCTGTACTTTGCCTTTATGGGAAGAATTCCCATGTCACATGACAGAGGCCATGGATATACAGAGATGTGAAGAATTGGGGCCACTGGTCAACCATGGGGTTTCTACCTCCTATCAGTCCTCCTTTTTACAGATTGGGTCTATGGGTGGGAGAAACAGATAGCAGAAGCCAAAACCAGCTTTGCAGTCTTTATTTTCATTTCTTACCCTTTTGAAGCGTGGTATGTTTACATTTCTTGTGATTCATGCAGAATTACAAAAGTGCATCTCTTGCTTCCCCCAACACAATAACCTGCTTGTGGAGAGTAAGTGTGCCTAAGACATAAGTAACCCGGCTCTGAGCTCAACCAGAGAAGGGGAAATTAGAAATCGTCCTGGGCTTTTGGACATAGAGAGGATTCTTCTTGCGAGTGGAAGATTTGACCTGGAGAAGGTCAAAACCACTGTAACATTAAAGCCATCAGTGCCTTCAAGTGTTAAGATCAAAATCCATCAATTACTGAAACTCAGCTCATTTTTTTCTACCTTTATTTAGAACCTTAAAACAGGCTTTAAATGAATCTTGATTTCACAGTGCTATTTTATTACTATTTCATTACAAATAAAACATATAGGAGAATTGAACTCTTAAAACCCTAACTTTGCCTGAATGTGTCTAGGTCAGTGGCTTTGTATGACTGCCGAAGTCCAGATGAAAGCCATCGAATGTGGCGATTCAGTGGGCAGATAGAGAGAGTGACTTGGAATCACTTTTCACCTTGTCATTTTTTGGTAAGAGTACACATGTTACTGTTTTGCTTTTCTAGGTTACTAATGACTTTTAAATTCCATAGTAGAGAGAATTATCTGAAAAGCCTTTTCTGTTTTAACAGAATGAAGTATTTGGGTTTAGGGTTGAAAGCATAAGGTTTTTGTTTTGTTTTTTTAATAAGAGAATGGCTCTTATTTTAAAAGTAGTGAACATGTACATGATTTTGCTGGTTGCCGGCCATTCCAAAGTGTGCCACATTTTATTCAATGATTTTGATCATTTTATTGTAGTGTTGTTTGAAATACTAAGCATAGTTAGTATTTTTTGTTTTTTTTAATGGCTAAATCAGTCCAAAAAGATATTCTTTTATTTAAATCCTCATGCTTAAATGGAGCTCTAGTGATGAGAATGCTAACCTGTTTAATTTATAGCACTATCTCCCAAATAGGAAAAAAAGTATAAGACCTCTCTCTAAATACCCTTATTATCTAGGGAGGACGATGATTTTCCACATAGCATCCAAAGATTCCACTGACATTTCAGTACATGTAAAAAGAAGAGCCCAGCTTTCATCCAGAGGGAAGATTAGTTAAATCTGTTGCCCAGTTTTCCTAAAGTAAATATGTAGTGTGTTGCAAAGGTGGGAAAAAGTTTTTTAAAAACAGCTTTCTCAAAAGATGTGGACAGTTTTAATAAGGTTCCTGAAGTAATGATTCTGAGATACTTAATCTCAATTCTGCACCATTAGTAGAGGTGCATGCTGTTCCTAGCCAGGCAGCCTGAAGCCAGACTCGTTTTACAATGATCAGGAATGAAGTTCCAGTTGTACTTGAATGTTGTATTGTACTTCGGCTCTCACTCTTCAGGCACAGAAACTTAGAGATTATTTGCTAACAAATGGTCATAGATACTAAAATCCCAAATATTTAGGGAAATGGGAGGTTAAAGTAGATGAAATGGTTCACCTGCTTCCCTCTTATCTCAAATAAGAGCCTAAGCCTTCTCTTCCCTGGCCCAGCCTTCAGACTGCCTCAGCCATCCTTTATCCTTTTTTCTTGTACTGGCTGTTGCCCTTGACCTGTATACAGGCTCGGGTTTCTGTCTCCCATTTTTGACTCTGTGTCTGTCTCTTAATTCCTTTATTTCTTCTTCCTTTCTTGACAGTGTAACAACCCACTCTAATCTGCCTTTCAGTCCTAAGTTCCTTATCTGATTGAATTTCTCTGCTGTCACACTGGTCGATTAGACTGTTGGTCACACCTTGGTTCCTTGACACTCTTCCCTGTCCCTTCTTCCCTCTCTGACCCACTTCTGTGGATGTCTCCTCAGCCTACAACTTGAGTAGCCATGCTCACCAGTTCTCTGTTCACGTGGACGTAACTATGGCCTCTTTGCTTCTGCCTCTCTAGCCCCATTCCAGACCACTCACCACAGCTTCATACTCATATCCAGTAGACATGTCAACTGAATTAGCCCATGTGAGTGCAAACTCAGGTCGTCCAAAAGTAAATGACTTCTGTCCATGTTAATTTTTCATAAGCTCCACCAGTAAGTCATATAGCTGATTTTCACTATGACTTAGACTTTTTACCCATTGTTAAATTTTGTGACATAGCATGACCTTGCCCATCTTTTACTCTTTCTAGGCCAGTACAGATGACGGCTTTGTGTATAATTTGGATGCACGTTCAGATAAGCCAATTTTTACACTTAATGCACACAATGATGAAATCTCTGGTGAGCAAGAGTAATGCTTCTTTCATTTTTATTAACTTATGATGAAGTAAATCTGTATTTCAAAGTGAGAGTGTCTGAACTAATCTTCCCTTAGGTCTTGATCTTAGCAGTCAAATCAAGGGCTGTCTCGTGACTGCTTCAGCTGACAAATACGTGAAGATCTGGGACATCTTAGGAGATAGGCCAAGTCTAGTTCATTCTAGGGACATGAAAATGGTAAGAATCTCCCTGGGTATCTGTTTATTTATTCTGTTTCTGACCTTGTCTTTCTTTGGAACTTGTGTTGCATGTTTTTCTGTTGGAACCATTGCATTAACTAATATGGACGTGTTGGGGAAATGAATTTTGAGTTTAGTCAAATTTGGTGGGATTTTATGACTTAGAACACTTTGTGGGGAATTCAGTGACTGGTTCTTTTCCAACTCACATAATTAACAGTTGCTTGGTAAGACCAAGGACTCTGGGGAGAGGCTTTTCTAGGACACAAGTGAAATGGCCGCTTTTTTTTCACCCTGAAATCAAAACCATCCCAAGAAATTCCCAAGAAATCTTGAACCTCAGGGCACTGTAGCTATTAGGGTCAGTTTATGTATCTTTATCTCTTTGCATAACTAGTTTTGACTACACTGAAATGAATTACTGTATAGTAGGAAAAATTTAGAAATAACCAGATTCACTCAAGAAACACTGATCATCTACTGTATGCCAACCACTGAGTTATATAAGTTAGACTGCAGACATAATAACGCTGCACAGCTGTTCAAAATTGTGTATGAATAAATAAATATATGTAAATATAATGGAAAAACAGGTTACAGAAGCAATTTTTGTAGTACTATCTCATGCTTATTTTTAAATGCATAATTGCCTAAATGCTTCCATTTAACTCTAGTAGATTATATCCCAGAACATAAACTGGTTATCTCCCTGAGAGATTTTCATATATTTTTCTTGTTCATATTTTCTGTAACAAATATATATTACCTATTAATAAAAATGTAAAAAAGAAAACATTAAAGTTTAAAAATGATTTAAACTGGCATCATTGTCATTGTTTAAAAGGAGAGCTAAAGTTTCTGGAAATACATGACACGTTAGGTTTATTAGGAAATCCCTAAGAGACAGAGTGATAATGAAGATGAGCAGCGTGGGTGGTCAGAACATGCACATACCATCGTGGAAGAACCAGCGTGCTGTGCTTGTCTGGCTTCATATTGTAATAGCCCTTCTGACTTGACTCTGAGCTACCTGTGCAGTAGGCTTGAAAGTGATACTCATAAGTTGGTTTTGAGTAACCACAGGTTCTTAGAGACAAGAGTGAAGATCTAGATATTAGGGCTCTCTGAAGAGATTAAAATCACCACCTTCCTGTTCTCTCTCTAGGGAGTTCTCTTCTGTTCTTCATGTTGCCCTGATTTGCCATTTATTTATGCCTTTGGAGGTCAAAAAGAAGGGCTTCGGGTCTGGGATATAAGCACAGTCTCTTCAGGTAAGAATTTTTAGTTCTCTGCACATCTCCCCCCGCCCCTTTAAAAAAAAAAAAAAAAAAAAAAGGACAGGGTCTCACTATGTTGCCCAGGCTGGTCTCAAACTCCTGACCTCAAGCAATCCTTGGTCCTCAGCCTTCTGTGTAGCTGGGATTACAGGTGTGAGCCATCATGCTGGCCTCTCCTTTTTCTGAATGAGTTCTATAAGGACTGACACAGAATGTGTGACTCGAATTGTTTCTCAGCATTTTGGCTAAGACCAAGTGCAGAATATGTGACCTGACTACATCAGGAAGATAGCAAAAGTAGTGTAGTCTTCTTAGGAAAGAGACAAGAACAGATGTAATTGGTAATGTTCATGTTCACAAATAAGTTTGTCTTCACACTTTAAGTGTACATCATTTAACAAATACATATCTTAAAATTGAAAGATATTTGGGGAAAGCTGGAAAGAAATATAGCATGGTCTCAACAAATAGCCCTCTTCCCCACAGTTACCAATGTCAATTAATCCACCCTTTGCTCAACTATAAAATTCTACAAAATCCAACTTCCCGGAAGAGGCCACTCTTCTCCCTTCAGGGGATCCTGGCTGCTTATTTATTACTTTGAGGTAGTCTGGTGCATTCTGTAAACACAGAGATAATATATATATATCCCCACTATGTGATTCCTGCATCCTCCCTCCCATGCAAAACAAGGATCCTGAGATTTTTCTCTGGGTTACTCTGATGTGAGTCCTAAGTCCAAAAAGTTTTGTCCTGGTTATGATCAGAGAAAAGTGAAAGAAAAAGTAGGAAGCAATCAGAAGTAGAATAAGGCTAGGAGAGAGTCACTTACAAGGAATGGGACATCTGTTACCAAGGCGGATCAGATAAATCCAGGACATGGCAAAGAAAGTAAAGGACAAAAATAAATTGGACCATTTAAAAAAAATAATTCACTTCATTCAGAACATTAACTTGGACTTCTGAGTTGGTTACTCACTTTACCATTTATAAAGTACTAAGTATATTTTCATAAAATTTTTGCCCCAGAATAGAGAACCTCATTGCTCAAGTCTGCATTTTAGTGTCTTTTTATATTCTGACTTAATTTCCTGATCTGTTAGTTTAACTGTTTGTTTGTATTTTAGTAAATGAAGCATTTGGAAGACGAGAGAGGCTTGTTCTCGGGAGTGCAAGAAATTCATCTATTAGTGGCCCTTTTGGCAGCAGGAGCTCAGACACACCCATGGAGTCTTAATGAAGATCATCTAATTTCCTCTTTACCTTAACTGGAAATTTTGAAAAGTTGGCCTAAAAATGTTCCATGTGTGGCAGCAACCATGCATAGTGACTGAGACACAATTCATTTCTGACTGCCTGACATTCCTTTCTGCAACTGTGGTGGCACCACAAACAGAGCCAGTCTTTGTGCTTGCTCTTCAAATGGATGGTTTGTAAGGCTCTTGTTGCATTTCTTAAAAAAGAGTAATAAAAAGGATTTTTAAAAAGTAATTCCTTAAACATACCGTAATCTGTCACAGTTAATCTAGGTTTGTAAATAAATAGTAATTTATAGAATTTTTAAAGCGTAAAATCCTGTAATATTAAGGTAAACCTAGGCCTGGAGAGGTTGTTATTTGGCTAAGATTGCACAGGAGGCCACAGACAGAGGCAAGTGCCCCACAGACTCCACTTTCCTTCCTAACTGTTCTCAAATTAATGCTCGTGATTGAGAAATATGCTCAATGCAACTTGTAGATTTTGGTAAGTAAAAGTTACATGCCCCTGTTTTCCTAGCATGATATTCACTGTTATCAAAGACGAAAGTCGGACCATTCATTCATTCTCAAAACTGAATGCCATTCTGTGCCTAGTGCTATACAAGGCATGGGAGATTCAGTGTGAATAAGTCTTTGCTCTCCACCTAACAAGGGACAATTTTAATTGTAGATTGTCTTAAGCATGAATTTTAGTAGGCATTAAAAATTAGTTTGATAATATGAGACCCAACCCTAACTTGCCAGAAGAATAATCAGTTCATGAACCTTTGATATTTCCTGTATAATTCATGAATGTGACTTCACAATCATTCTAGTGTTAATACTGTGGAATGTCATTGGTGTAACAACTTGGGGTTCACCAAAACACCTCTTTATACAAAGGACAGATGTGTGAATTAAAGAGATTAAAGGATAGAGTATTCTGTTTCTTTCTTTTGATTTGACTTTTAGGTATCAAAATAAGGCCCAGATCACTAAAAATTAATAACAGAGGGAGTCCTCTAATAGATTTAAACTCAATTAATTCTCTCTCAAATTTGATGTTTTCTTCTATAAATAATAACTCTAAAATAGGCATCTTCCCAGGACTTTCAGTTCTCAGGAAAAGACCCGGTTATATATAAAAAATAACTTCCACTGCTTTATGTAGTCATATAGATCTGCCTAAAATAAGAATTTGTATTTAATAAATACCAGACTTTCAAATGGTAAATGAGGTTGACACCTGTTTCCAACTTGAAAGTGCTAGTGTGATGAATGCTATGCATGGGGTGTTTTCTGAGCCAAAAGAATGTGCCTCTGAAGCAGCTGGTTGGAGCAGATCTGAGCACCTGGGACCAGAAGAGTGCTGGCCGGGACCTGCAGTTACCGCTAAAAGCCAGTGCAGGCGGTGGGTAAGACATCTGAGTAGACAAGCAATAGGGGTAGTCAAGCTGTGGGAACTGGATAACGTGGGGATTAAAATCCAAGCCCAGATTACAAATGTAAAAGGAGGCTCCATTGTGTCATACTGACTGAAGAAACAGTAACCACATCACTTCCTACCGTGGGTACATTTTGCACCTAAGTGTGGGTAGATCTGAGCCCAAAGATATGTGGCTTAGAATTCCTGTCTGGCATAGAAAGTGGGGGAACAACATGTAACATTTTCACCACTGGTAGTTTGTTGGTGACTGGTGTTTTCATTACATAGCACGTGGAAATGCCATGGAGCCAATCATATTTGTCAAAGTGAAAACCCAATACTATTAAACAATTTTACCCAGATGGCTGGGCATGCCTGTAATCCCAGCACTCTGGGAGGCCGTGGTGGGCAGGTCACCCAAGGTCAGGAGTCCAAGACCATCCTGGCCAACATGGTGAAACCCCGTCTCTACTAAAAATACAAAAATTAGCTGGGCGTGGTGGTGGGTGCCTATTAATCCCAGCTACTTGGGAGGCTGAGGCAGGAGGATCACTTGAACCTGGGAGGCGGAGATTGCAGTGAGCTGAGACTATGTCATTGCACTCCAGCCTGGGCAACAGGAGCAAAACTCCGTCTCAAAAAAAAAAAAAAAATTATCCAGATGTAGGCAGGTGTCAGCTAATTATATCTGGGAGTTCAAATTCTGCAAAACCAATTGTTTTATAAAGTAGAAATACCAACTTCTATGATACTATATTGTATGAGCATTATACAGGTAGAACTTAAAGGCCTCAATTTTTCAGGACAACCCAAACTACATCTTATAAAGCTCTTTTCAGTAAAGGTGGTGTATGAAATGTATACTATACTCTTAATACTCTTTTAGGTGGAGGGAGGTTTTTTTGTTTGTTTTAAGATGGAGTGTTGCTCGGTTACCCAGGCTGGAGTGCAGTAGCGTGGTCTTGGCTCACTGCAGCCTCCGCCTCCCAGGTTTGAACAATTCTCTTGCCTCAGCCTCCTGAGTAGCTGGGATTACAGGCATTTGCCACCATGCCCAGCTAATTTTTGTATTTTTAGTGGAGATGGGGTTTCACCATGTTGGCCAGACTGGTCTCAAACTCCTGACCTCAGGTGATCTGCCTGCCTTGCCTCCCAGAGTGCTGGGATTACAGGCATGAGCCACCATGCCCGGCCAAGGGAGGTCTTTTCAAAATAAGTACTTTTAAAACATCCTATCAGAACAAATAGCCAGATTTTGTTTCAAAAACAACTTGCTTCATACTTCCATTTCTAGATGTGACAGTATAGCTTCCACGAAACAAAAGCTGAACAAGAGGCATGCAATATCTATTTGAAGGCACTGAAGTGCTTCTAAGGCAGCCAGGACTTGAGGGCAAAGATCCTGGGAGAAGGGATGTACAGAGAATTAACCCCATGTGCCTATGCCGACTTTCTGAAGCATTTATCAATTTTTATGTTGTACAAGGTAAGAAAACTGAAAAAAGGAGCAGAGCAAAGACAAAAATTGAACTTGATTTCAAAAAGGAAGTTCTCTAAAAACACTCCAAGCTCTCTCATTGTGACCCCTCAAAGGCTATACCCCAAAGGTTTAGATAAACCAGTAGAGCTAACTTTAGGAATCTGAAGCCCAGCCTTGAGTAAGCTCAGCTTTTGACTGGATTGAGGTGTCCCTGCTCTAGTTTGACAGAGGACAGGGTGAATCCTCCCTGGAAGAGGATAATTTCGTCCACAGCTTCTAGAGTTTTTCATACACAATCTCCAGCAAATTTCCAGCAAAAATTTCTAAGCATACTAAGAAATAGCACCACGAGAAAAATAGACCTATAATAAATTCACACATTGGACTTATGTTGGACATGAACTTTGAAATAGGCAGGATTGGTAAATGTAAGAAAAAACAAGATTGAATATATCATCAAGGAATTGGAATCTATAAAGAATTAAATGAGAACTCTAGAACTTAAGAGAATTTTATATATGAGCCTAACAACATTAGAGTTGAAGGAGGATTAGTGAGTGTGAGGATAGGTCAATGGGAAATATCCACACTAAAATACAAAGAGTAAAAAGTATAAAGTATAAGATACATATCAGGCATGGTACAAAAGTCTAACATACATGTAACTGGAATCAGAATAGGATGAGGGAGAACAATATCCAAAAAGATTATGGCAAAAGTTAAACACAAGTTTATGAACCTGAAACTACTCCTTGGTATATATCCAAGAGAAACAAAACATGTCCTTACAGAGACTTATATGCAGACGTTCAGCAGCAGTGTCATTCTTAACAGCCCCAAAGTGGAAACAATCCAAATGTTCATCAGTGGGTGAATGAATAAACAAATTGTGGGATAGCCATAAAGTGGACTTCTGTTCTGTGATAAAAAGGAATGCACTAATACATATTGCAACATAGATGAACCTTTAAGACATGCTAAACGAGAGAAGTTGGACATGAGGCCATATATTATATAATTCCATTTATATGAAATTTCAGAGGAAAAGGCAAATCCATACAGACAGTACCTTGTCATTTCCTGGGATTGGGAGTGAGAATAGGGTGTGACTGCAAATGAACAAAAATGATCTTTTTGGGTGGTGGAAGTGATTTAAAATAGGATTATGGTGATGCTTGCACTAGTTGCACTATTTTGAATATTCTAAAAACCAATGGATTGTACACATTAAATGGGTGAATTTTATGGTAAGTAAAATACTTTCTTTAAAAAGATGAAGACACTTTGGCTGAGCATGATGGCTCACACCTATAATTCCAGCATTTTGGGAGGCCAAAGTAAGCAGATTATTTGAGCCTGGGAGTTCCAGACCAGCCTGGGCAAAACCCCATCTCTATAAAAAATCTCTATAAAAAATCCAAAAATTACCTGGGTGCAGTGGCGCTCACCTGTAGTCCCAGTTACTTCAGAAGCTGAGGTGGGAGGACTGCTTGAGCATGGGAAGTGGAGGTTGCAGTGAGCCAAGATCACACCATTGCACTCCAGCCTGGGCAAGAGAGTAAGACCCTGTCTCAAACAACAATAATTGTAAAGTTACGCTAAACTTAGGCACAACGAAAACGATCCCAGATGGGAATACAGAAATGCAAGAAGGAATAATGGTCAACATGGGTAAATTTAAGTGAATATTACCACAGAAAACAGTAATAATAATGTTGTATAGGGCTTAAAATACCTGGAAGATTAAAATGCCTGACAAAAGGCTAGAAGGAGATAAATAGAGTTAAGGTATTCTAAGATCTCAGCATTGTTTTGGAAGGGATAAAAGTATCACTATTACACTCTAATAAATCAAGGATGCATGTTGTAATCTCTAGTTAAACTACAAGAGTACTGAAAAAAGCCAAAAGGGGAGAAAGCGAACAATACTTGATTAACTCAAAAGAAGCAAGGAGGCCAGGCACAATGGCTCATGCTTGTAATCCCAGCACTTTGGAAGGCTTGAGGTGAGTCAATCACCTGAGGTCAGGAGTTCAAGACCAGCCTGGCCAACATAGTGAAACCCCATTTCTACCAAAAACACAAATATGAGCTCGGCATGGTAGCATGTGCCTGTAGTCCTAGCTACTCGGGAGGCTGAGGCAGGAGAACTGCTTTAACCCAGGAGGCAGAGGTTGCAGTGAGCCAAGATCATGCCACTGCACTCCAGCCTGGGTGACAAAGGGAGACCCTGTCCCCACTCCCCTCCAAAAAGAAAAGTTAGAAAAAGACCGGCAATTTAAACCCAAAAATATGGATAGAAGGAAATAACAGAGTAGAAATGTGATACACAACAAATACAATATAG